ATTTTGGTCAATTTATATTTTACGAATTATTTTTCTCACATTTTTATAAGGTGTGGTTCACTAATATGTACACTCCAAATTTCAAATCATTTCTTAGTAAAAAAAAAGAAAAATGAAACACTATCGGACAACTGTGACCATGCCATAAAATTTGGATGGTGATGATGGTAGGCGAAATGAACAGTGATATTGCCTACCCTTATCACCATCCCAATTTCATCACACGATCACAGTTGTCCGATAATGTTTTATTTTTCATTTTTGTTTTACTAATCAGAAATGATCTGAAATTTGAAGCTCGTGTACATCTTAGTGAGGCACACCTAATAAAAATATGAAAATTGAAACACTACCGAACAACTGTGACTATGATATATATATATATATATATAATACTACAAAATGGCTATAGACGAAAATAAACAGTGATTTCGTCTACCCTCATCATCATCCAAACTTCATCGCACGATCACAGTTATTCAGTAGTATTTCAATTTTCATTATTTTTTACTAATCGGAATGATCTGAAATTTGGAGTGTGTGTAAACCTTATTAATGTGCACCTAAAAAAAATATGACAAAAAAAAATCGTAAAATATAAATTGACTAAAATACCCCCAAAAGTTTTGGGGGTATTTTGGTAAATTTATATTTATGAATTATTCTTTTTCATATTTTTATTAGGTGTGTCTCACTAAGATGTATACACACTCTAAATTTTAAGTAATTTCGATTTATAAAAAAAAATTAAAAATGAAACACTACCAGACAACTGTAGTCGTGAGATGAAGTTTGGATGGTGATGAGGGTAGGCGAAAATTCGAAATCACTGCTCATTTTGGCCTATAGGCGTTGAGAAGTATTTTCATATATATATATATAGAAAAAGATGGGATTAGCCCACTAACTCATATAAACATATGAGCCCAACGTCCCAGATTGAATTTGGGCCTATCTGACGATCATGAATGTCCGGTAGTGTTTGAATTTTAGTTTTTTTCTACAATCCAAATCACTTGAAATTTTAAGCGTGTGTTTATAAAAAATAGGTGAATCTTCGAAAAATATCAAAACTATATTTTACATGAAATAAATTGACAAAAATACCTCCGAAAAGATTCATGCAGTATTTTGGTCATTTTTTTTTTTTACAAATAGTTTTTTATCTTTTTTATTAAATGTGCATTGATGATAAGAACACACACCTAAAATTTCAAGTGATTTGGATTTATAGAACAATAAAATAAAATTCAAACACTATCGGATATCCGTGATCGTCAGATCAGCCCAGATTCAATTTGAACTATTAGACCCATATGTTCATATGAACAAATGGGCTAATCCATTTTTTTTCATATATATATATATATATATATATGGAGGAGAGAGAGAAGAGAAGAGAGAGAGAGAGAGAGAGAGAGAGAGAGAGAGAGTTTTCTTATTTTCTTATTATAACGATGACGAGAACAAGGCATCTCGAGTGATACTTTTATGAATCTTGCGTTTGCGTTGGTGCTCTAGATGTAGAAGTTAGTGGGAGAAAGGTCTCCCACTAATCTAAAACAAAACATGGTAGGAAAGGCATCTTTCCAAGGAGGACATGGTGTGGGCCATGTAAGGAAAAATGTGCCATCCATAAGTAGCCGTTTACCAGCAAATGACTCTTTAATAAAAGCAAGAGTAAAGGGATAGGCTTATGAAAAGAATAAAGGGACGTATCAAAACGCATAAATGTATGTGCGGTGCCAGATGGCAAATCTCGATTTTCATTTTTTTTTTTTTTTTAAAACGATAGCATATCTTGATTTTAATAATTATGAATTTTAAAACTTAGATTTTAAGCATAAAAATGATGTACCTTGTAACAGATTATGAGGATTTATTTTCTAACATTTTTAGAACTTAAAATTTCATATCTAGAAACAAAAAATTGATTTTCGGGCAGCTATATATTTATCATAAAGATTTGCAAGAAATGTATTTTCCGGAGGGTTTTTATGGTACTTCTTTAATTTGCCTAAAGATTTTCGAGAAATGTATTTTCCGGAGGGTTTTTATGGTACTTCATTAATTTTCCTATTTTTAATTTAAAGCGTAATTCTTTTGCCAGGGCCGCCACTCTAATTCTGCTGGCAATTTCACACGTTGTTTCATAGAGAGGGATAGAGCGACGACCATCCACATGAGAGAGCTTTTATTCATCCACCAATCGTCAATGTTTTTATTTTTTACTTTTTTTTTTTTGGGAGTGCTTCAGTCTTCATATATAATTTCAGCAAATTTTCTTGTTAAAATCCCAAAATTGAAAATTAGCCAATTTTTTTGGTTCTTGTGTATATGATTTTTTCTCTTCTTTGAGAAAATGGGCTCGATTCTTTTACGGCTAAAATGGTAAATACTGTGATATTCCAAAATCAAAATTGTCCTCAACTTGGTCCAAAAACTCTAGTCGAAATTCATAATATTGCTTTTGGCATTTAAAATAGTTTTAAATAAAGAAAATCGTAAAAACCACATATTGTGCTCATTTCTTTTGATTTAATTACAAAAATCCCATCAAAATAAAGAATGTGCTCCAAAATGGGTAGTTATTTTGATGAGGGTGAGGTTTGTATAAGGCGTCCACCTTATACTATACGACTAAGGCACATCTCCAAAGTTCGCTAAAAAATGTAGTTTTGGTACATAAAATCTTAAGATAGCTTGAAAATCTATGCTCAAATTTAAAATTTAAGCAATGGTGAGGTTCAAAGTAGGACGTATTTCTAAACTTTGTCATGAGATGAATTTTGGTGTCTAATACTTTTAGGATGATCCGAAAATCTATTACCATATTTAATTATAAAATTTTAAACTTCAAAGATAGTTGAAATTAAACAGATCTATAAATACGTTAAAATCATGAAAATAGATGGTCCAGATAATAAACAACAACATGTACTAGTTTTGAGACTTAAATTATTATTTTTTGTCATATTCATACATCTCGATGTCGAGATGAACAAGAAAATGGTTTTCCAATGTCCAAATAGTCTATTCTTTTTTGATAGATTTTTATGTACATTTTAATTTTACAATTTAAGGAGTCAACCTTATATAAATTGTTTCTTTTCAATGGTGTAGATCAAGAAGATCTATGAACACTTTGAAAATTTTAAAAATCAACGATTTAGATAACTCGTTGCAAAGTGCATTAATTTTAGACTTAAAATTATTTATTATTATTATTTTTTTCCGTGTATAGAAACCATCTCGATGTCCATATCATCAATTACAAGGTATTCCAAATTTGAATACTCTTTTCTATTGAATTTTTTAGGTGCACCGTGTAATTGCACCCTTATATATTATTTTTTTGCTTTTGATAAATTTCAAAAGAATAACAAAAAGAACGTCAAAGCACCAATGGGTAAAATTGTCCTTTCAACATTTCTCAGCCCTTCTAGACAAAATTAGAAAAATCAAAACCCTTTCTCCGAAAATACCGGCGATAAAATGCAAGCTCTGGTTCTCCTTTCATGGAGTTCTTCAACATAGGGCTCCTCTAGCCCTAAATAAGCAACTCTCTGTAAAATATTTCCCCTTTTTTACGACAATTAGTTCTTTTTTAATCTCACGGAGTTTAACCTAGGGTTTCTTTAGCCCTCAAATCAGCGGCTGCAACTTCTTCTACTTCTTCGCCATTGAAGATTTGTCTCCCTGCGAATTATTTTTGTGATGCAGAGCATAGAAGGAAATGCACAGTCGAATGAGCTCCAGCCGTCTTCCATGGCTGCTGACTCGAGAGGGAAGCACCGTATAATTGCGGAACTCAAGCGATTGGAGCAAGAAACCAGGTTCTTAGAGGTCAGTTTCTCTCTATTTTCTCACTTTTCATTTGAAATTGATAGGCATATTCTATTCCTTGTTCTCTGTGTTTCTCTCCCTCTGTGGATTCATTGGTGTTCATGGCTGGTTTGTATCTTTTTTTCTGACTCGCTTCAATTCATGTCCTGTTCTTCTTTCTCATATAAAGAAACTTAGGTAAAATATGATTCATGCATCTTTTTAATATTTGAAAAAAGCCTCTTTAGATCAGTTTTTAGTCTTTTAAATTAGTGATTTGATTGCATTTGATTATGCTTGTGCACTTTTATCGAATGCCTAGTGGTATCGAACCAGTCCTTTTCTGGTAGATTTTTGGTTGGGTTGTTTTGAAGATTACCCGGTATTGTAGTTCCTAATGCTCTTACTTAGCGAAATTCATCGCTCATCATCGATGAATAAGAAAAAGATCTTTTGTTTTTTAGAGACTATCTTGTTTCAATAGTTCACTGAAAGTTGTTATTGCTTCATTTTTGTATCCTTTGCCGTTTGGTCAATGGAAATCATATACTTAGATGTCGTATTTCAGATGTCAGGTTGGATCGTTTCATGCAACTTCTGGTGGAGCCTGGGTTCAGTTTGGTCAATGTAGATCCTATTTTTACACTGGGATCAGTCCTTACTATAGAATGTCATAGTGTGTCCTTAAGTAGGATGGCAGCATTGGTTTTTTTACATTTCCTTTTTGGAGTTAAGTTTGGTAGGTTCCTCTTGCAAAGTGTATATATGTTGGGTCTTAGAGACATACGAGGTCTGCTATATGATATAAAAGGGGGCCATAACCCGGTGCTGGTCCCTCCTAAGCAGGGTCCCAGGAGGGCCTGCTATCTGATATATCGATCCTTTTTTTTTCATATTGATTTAAATATATATATGATGTCCTTCCTGAAGTATAAATGAAGTACTGTATGCTCTTAGGAGTTTGTTTTTGCGCAAAATTCATTTAGTACTAAAATTAACATATGTTGTCCGAATATGGGTATAGTGATGCTCTTTGCTGATGGAGATAAACTCTTTTAGGTTTAGGTATGGATGTAAGTGATTCTATTTTGACATTCCAGTGTCTCACTTATAGATCTAAGTCACCAGCCTCCTAATCTTATTTCTCTTAGTATTCCAGGACATATGTACATTTCCAATTTTAAGATTTGAAGCTTTGTAGTTGATACTTCATGAAATTTGGATAGGAGATCCATAAATCCCACTGATTTACACCTTTCCCCCCCAATAAATTGCCTATACTTCCTTCTGTATGTCCTTCCTTTTCTCATCTACTTTGTAGTTATTTCTATACTTCATGAAATTTGGATGTTAGACACACTAATACCACTGATTTATGGACAGGAAATTATTGCTACTTCTGCTATATTTCACTCCCTTTCTTGTTGCTGTTACACTTCTCTCTATACAATAGAAAAATATGTTTATTTTTTTATTCATTGCATCTTAGGGAATATAACGTTGGAATCCATTATCTTCAATTGTGTTGGAGTTGTAAGCTGTTAGTTCTTCACTTGAAACTACTCACAGTTCTGCTGGCTGATATTAGCTCCTGTTCAGGGCCATGATCGCCAGGGGAATGAGCCGGACATGGCACACACACATACAAATGTAGAAACAGACACATACAAACACAAATCCACTTGGTTCTTTTTAGTTGTGTTCTGAATGTGGTGAAAACATTAAATAGAGGGATTTAAGTTGCCCTTGTCCTACAGAATAATTTCTTGTCTTGCGCTGTTTAGTACCTTTTGTTTTGAAAAAATCCAATAAATTTTGAGATTTTCATGCTATCTAGATTTTAAGAAATGCGATTCCCAAGGGAAGGGATCTGGGACTATAGTAAAACTGAAAAACAGTTATTGTTGATCTAAGCATGGACTTGACAAGCCTGATTTCTATGCTTTAGGGTTACTATCTCTGGTCATGCCCAAACCTTGCCATGCCAGTTCAAATTCAAATGAATTGATAAAAGTTTTAGTGACTAAGATCATGTCTCTGAGATGTGAATAACATCATTAAAGTTAAATGGTCGGTTGGACCATCTTGGGAGCATGAATGGAACTCATTAAATTAGAGTATCTAGGTCAACTGAAGTTAATTCAGGGCTTCAACTCAGACGTATATTTATGGTTGAGTACCCCTGTTGACCATTTGGATCTGTATATAGCTCAATTTGGTTGGTGGTCTTTAATGTTTTGGTGCTATAGTTTGGGATTAGAACTGTGAGATGACTAGATGCGTCACAGGTCCATCCAACTGGAAGACTCAACTTAGGCTGAAGCCCAATATTATCTTGCCAAAGTTCTTTTTCATGTGGGTACTTTTCTGCCCATAATTGTTGAGGTGATTTGCTCAACAGTGTTAGATAGTAACAATAATCTTATGATGTAGTGTGTCAGTGCCTGCTCTATTGATTTTAGGTACCTCCATTTTCTCCTTTCTTCCATTGTTTCTCCTCTCTTATTTTTCACTTTGGGATTCTATACACATTTGCATTACCTTGTAGTAATGGTCACCATAGCGAGAATTTTTATTATACTGAAATGATTAAGAAGGGGGTCACTGTGTCTGAGAAGGTGGTGTGCGGTTGTTTTCGCTAGTAGCGGTCATTCCTTTTTCATTGTGCTTTTGATGTATTTCATGGCAGTGCCCAATTATTAAGGTGAATTGAATGTAAAAGAAGGTCCGAGGTGGGGTTGGGTTTTTGGATTTTTCACCATCTTGGAGGAGCTGCATATTAATTTAGTTTGCTTTCTGTCTCTATAAAGTCGTCATGAAAATCTTCACTCAAGGTATCGAAAGTACTTCGAGGTTCCAGAATGTCAACAACAGCACTCCCGTCCTTGCCATGGGTGACTCGTATTTCTCCTCTCCTCAGTAGGTTCTCAATCTCAACTCTCAACTCGAAACAGGTTTCAATACAATGCCCCCTTTGGTTCTTGTGGTAGAGGCAGACTCGCTTTGGATCATGGAAAAGGGTCTTTGCTCGTCCTTCTTTGGCTAATTATGAGCTGGCCATAACCCTCGGTCAAACATGTTGTTTGGTGGGATCCAACTAATTCAAGCGTATTGTAAGTTCACTGCATATTTTTTACCAGCTCTGTTCTCTTTGCTCTCACTTCAAGATTACCAGGTCTGTACTACTTTACAGACTGTTACTTTTTTATCACCATCTAGGAATTAATTCTTAGAGTTATATTATTGGAGTTGCAATCACTTAAGTTTTGCAGTTCCAACATCTATTTTGATAAAGTTGTCCAGTTTTGATATTTCATCCTCGTGATGTGATTTATCAGCTATTAGATTCTTGGTCCAGGGGAGCATTGAGGACATAGAGGCATAATCACAAAATAAAAGCTATAGAGACTTCCCCTCCCCCTCCTTTGAATGGTAAATGGCTGCAAAGACTTAGTAGAGGATGTCATGACCTGGTGGGTCAACCCGGTCCTGGTCCGGGTCCAAGTTTTTGGACCCGGTGGATCTGTTTGCGGTCCAAAACCATGGACCCGAGTCAGATCCGGGTCCAGGTCTACCCAACCCGAACATATCTACACACACACATATATTTATTTAAAATACACATACACACACACGCACACATATATAGGAATTGTATACTATGAGACCATTTATATTTAGTGTATGGAGGTCACAGCTACTCCTAGCCATTAGATGTCAAATTGATGGCTTGAGGGTTGTCACAAAGTTCAAGAAATTTTTTTTTGAACTTTGAGTCTTGTCAATGACACACTCACAACCGCCCAATATAAAATCTGACAAACCTACTTGTATTAAAAATACATGGTGTCTTTTGTATTCATTTTCATGTGTATATATATATGAAAAAGCATAGAAAGAGACTATTTATGTTTAATACAAAGAGGTCACAATCACTCTTGTCCGTCACATTTCAAATCGGGTAGTTGGGAGTGCGTCATTGACTAGACTTAAACTTTAGAAGAAAATTTTCTAAAACTTTGTGACATGCCCCTGGCGATTCACTTTGACATCTAATGGATGGTAGCAATTATGACCTCCTTGTAACGAAGACAAATGTTCTCATAGTCAACAGTCCCTAGTATAAAATCCTTATTTATATAGTGCAATGAATTTCATTCTAGCCATTGCTTGTTGGCTTTTGAGCTGAAGACAAGCAAGAAAACAGATGTGCGTTAGCGCACCGGCTTTCTCTCTAGCCATTGCTGGTTGGCTTTTGAGCCGAAGACAAGCAAGAAAACGGATGTGCGTTAGCGCAATGGTTTTTGTGCTAGCTATTGCTTGTTGGCTTTCGAGCTTACGCTTGTTGGCTTTCGAGCTTACGCTTGTTGGCTTTTTGCTCTTGCGAAGCAAGTGGTAGCAAGATCAATTGACTGGGCCTTTTGCTCTTGCGAAGCTCCAAGCGATTTGATGTTTTGCATAGGCTACACATCTTTTCGCTTGGGGCTTGCTCGTTGCCACCTCTGCCATAGTCGTAAGTGCGAAGCAACGAGCAAAGCCCTCCTTTGAAGGAGTGCTTTCCTTTGATGTCTTCGTAGCAAAGTAAGAGCAAGCTACCACTGGCTTGTGTAGGCTAGACAAGCCACGATTAAGCTTTGCTCGTTACTTGCTTCAAACCACAACACAAATCGGCCAGCAATGGAAGTGTCATAAGCATTGAATGAGCAAAAGAG